CCGTCCACCTCCTTCAGGATGCGCACCGGACACTGTCCGATCCTGCGCATCAGGGCGTGGGTCCTGTCCACCGTCTCGGGGGCCGTCTCTGGGTGGGGGACCAGCTCGACCAGCGGGACGTAGTACGGTGGGTTCACCTGGGGGGCGAGGCGGGAGTCAGGGGGGCGGCTCGGTGCAGCTCCAGGACGCCGCTCGCCTGTCGGGGAGGCAGGAGGGCAGCCACCATTCGTGGCCAGACCCGGTGACCAGACGCTGGGAAGGCAAGTTCCTCTCAGAGGAAAAGGAGGGGGACTTGCTGCAGAGTCCTGCGGTGATGCCCAGACCAAGCTTGACCCACACACAGGCCTGGCCTGTGGAGGGGCCACCCCCCCAACCTGGCTGCGGCTCCCCTAGCCCCACTCCTGGAGGGGCACCTCTGCTCCCATCATCTTAGCACTGCGCCTTCCTCCCACCTGGCCACCCCCAGAACCATGTCTTCCCACCAGCATTCCCAGGGCCCTGATGCCCTCCTCTTTGGCGTCACAGGTGGAAAGGGTCTTCCCACCTGTGTCCCCAGGACCCTGATGCCCTCCTCATCAGTGCCACAGGTGTGAACGGGGTCGCCCCACCTGCATCCCCAGGTCCTAACGCCCTCCTTGTTGGTGTCATAGGTGTAATCGGCATTTTCCCACCCATGTCCCCAGGGCCCTGCCACCCTCCTCTTCAGTGTCACAGGTATGATTGGCGTCTTCCCACCCACGTCCCCAGGGCCCTGCTGCCCTCCTCATAAGTGTCATTGGTGTGAACAGGGTCTTCCCATCCACGTCCCCAGGCCCTGACACCCTCCTGCATCAGCGTCACAGGCAGGGTTGGCATCTTCCCACCCCCAGCCCCAGGGCCTTGACACCCTCCTGCCTTGGTGTCACAGGTGTGATCAAGTTCTTCCCACCCATGTCCCCAGGGCCCTGAGATGCCCTCCTGCCTTGCTGTCACTGGTGTGAATGTGTCTTTCCACCTGTGTCCCCAGGGCCCCAATGCTCTCAGGAGAATTCCTTGAACCCAGGGGTTTGAGGCCAGCCTGGTCAATAGGGTGAGACCTCGTCTCTACAATAAATAAAAAATTAGCTGGGCACGGTGTTATGCACCTGTAGTTCCAACTACTTGGAAGGCTGAGGTAGAAGGATCACCTGAGGCCAGCAGGTTGAGATTGGGGTGGCCATGACATGCTACTGCACTCCAGTATGGACAACAGAGTGAGACGTCTACTCAAAAAACAAAAAAGCAAAAAAAAAGCCCCTGGAATTATCTCCTGGAAGGAGGGCCCCTTGCAGGACAGGCTTCCCTCACTAGGTAAGTGTTCCAGGAACCCATTAGCATCCGTGGACCAGCTAGCATTGTTGTGAGAGGCTATGTTCAGCTTCACTGAGTTTTTTTTTTTTTGAGTTGGAGTCTCACTCTGTCGCCCAGACTGGAGCTCAGTGGCCGCTCCCAGCCACCGCAGCCTCGACCTGCTGGGCTCCGGCGATCCTTCTGCCTCAGCCTTCCGAGCAGCCGGAATTACAGGCGCGTGCTACCACGCCCGGCTGATTTTTTGATTTATTGTAGAGATGAGGTCTCGCTGCCCAGGTGGGTCTCGAATGCGCGGGCTCAGGCAATCCACTCACCTCAGCCTCCCAAAGGCGTGGGACTACAGGCTGAGCCACTGAGCCCGGCTGAATTTTTTCTTTTTTTAGAGAGTCTTTCAATGCGTTTGTCCATTTCATGATGGGGGACTTATGAGTGCACCTGGTCACTCTGCGCTGAGTGTTCAGCAGTTTTTGGCCAAAAGTGGCATCACCCCCATGCCCCATCCTCCCTGTTCACCTGAGCTTACTCTGATCAACTTGTATTTTTTGTTTTCCTGTGAAAAAAATTCTCAGAGGGAAACATTTTGCCGATATGGAAGAGGTGAAACAAAAAAACTGCAGAAGCACTAAGAGGTATCAAAATTGTCAAGTTCAAAACCTGTTTTGAGTAGTGGAAAAGGCATCTCGATGAGTGTACTGCAGCACAAGGAGAGTATTTGAAAGTGACTGAAGTTTAAACATGTAAGAATAAATACATAGTTTTCTATAAATAAATTCTGGGAGTTTTGGGGGGAATCCCCCTTGTATTTATCACCCCTGGGTGAGTCCTGTCCTAACTGGCCGTGCTGGGCCTCCAAGGTCATGATGAGCTCCAAGATGGGACTCAAACATTATTTCCAGTGATCCTGGGGTCTCCTCTCCTGGCCTCTCCCCCATATACACGTGAATCTCAAAACGACCCATGAGTGCTGGTGCCACCTGGGGCTCCCTGCCCGTCCTCCCCAGGCCCTCCTGGAGAGCGAACAGATCGGTTAGTGACAACAGTGGTGGTGGTGGTGGGGAACAGCACGGTAAAGGGAGCTAAAGTCAGATTCCCAGAGCCAGAATCTCGGGGTGGGGGGCCCAGAACCTGCATTTAGCACAGTGGGTCCCTCTCTGTAGCTGTACGTACGAACAACACATCCGCACAGTCCCACGGCCGCAGGCATGGGTAGCAGGGCACTGTCGCCGTGGGAGTGGAGACTCTGTTCAGTAGTCACCCTCAGCTACACTGAGGGTTCAAGCCCCAAAGCACCACTCACGCTACCCTCTGTACCTGCAGGCAGGGAATGTGTTTAGAAATCGCCAGCTCTGAGTCCACTAACCCACAGCACTGCGCGATTCGGACTGGTGGATGGTGTGGCCTGTGAAGTGTATTTCGTACAAGCTGTCAAAGTGCTCATGGGTCAGTTACAGCTCACTGCCCCGGAAACCGGAGTGAACTCGATGGCTCTCAGTGCAGAACACTCACCGGGTGCGCCACAATGCACTGCTTCACATGCGCCAGGCCGGCGAACACGTGGGAGGGCAGGAGGCAGGAACTGGAGCTGCTCAGGACGGTCCCGTCGCCCACGATACCATCCAGCTGCGCAAAGACCTTCTTCTTCAGCTCCAGACTTTCCGGAACACACTCCTGGAAAGGACACATTAGATGACTGCTCACTGTCACCGTCCTCAGCCAAGAACCGACATGGAGCCCATCAAGCGTTTCGAGCTGGACTCATGCCTAAAACGAGCCCATCTGAAAATGACACACAGCCCAGAACATGGCCCTTGGCATCTGAGAACACGGCAGAAGCAGGAAAGTCTCTGCCTCACCCTACCCTTTTCCCTGATGCAGGAAATAAGACCCTCATTCTTATTCCTGAAGACATGGGCCTTGCTTCATCACCCAGTTCATTCCATGAGCCATGCCCCCTTCAGCCTCTGATCGACTGTCCAACCTCCTCAAGCCCAGGCATAAGCACAGGCCCCCCCCCCGGGTCTTGGGTCTCCGTGTCCTCAGGAAGGCTCCACATAAACTTATGCTAAACGCATCTGTGTGTTTTCTCTTCCTAATCGGTCTTTTGCTACAGGGGCCTCAGCCAAGAACTTCAACAGGTTAGGAAAAGATTCTACATTTTCTCCCCTGTAAAAAACCACTGGCAAAATTTACGGACACGATGAGGCTGCCAAAAAAATACGGCAAATCTTGGTAGGTCTAGAAAGTGGGCGGTGTGTATCCGGGAGTCTGTTGTGTTTCCAGCCTTGAATAGTTTGAAAATTCTCATAATAAAAAGCCTGCCAGCCAAAGCCGCTGGTAATTAACAAGTCTGCCAATGACACCGGGGGCGGATTCTGCAGACAGAACACACAACAGGCCGCGGGCCACCTGCTGCCAAGTTTGGTGTCGTCACTGCACTCATGGCCCTATCAGTGCGACCATCAGACCCACAGATCTCCAAGGAAGCCTCACCCTCACCGAACCCACAGGCACGTTCCTTCCATGCTTCCCAAAGGCTTCCTGAGAACCCGCTTCTCCTTGGAAGTTCTTTTGAAAAAGGTCTTTGTTTCTAAAACTCTAAAATTACCTTAATGGGGGCAGGGGAGAGGGCCAGAGAAGTGAATTTGGATTAGATACCACAGATAACAAGCGCTCTGAAATTCTAATTACAAAGCCCGGGTGGGAGCAGCGTTTGGTCTTCAAACACCCTGTGCCCTGCAGGCCCAGGGGAGGTGTGCTGCGGGGGCCCGGAACCAAAGGGAGGCCTGGGCTGCTCTGACGCCTGGAAATTCTGGCCTGTCCACCCCGCTGGGTATCCCTCGGGGTCGCTGGGTATCCCTCGGGGGTTGCTGCTCCCAAGGCCGGCCCTGCTCACTGGGGAAACGGGGAGGCACGGACCTCAGCCTCCTCTGGTGACCAGGATAATGATTCTCAGTGTGGCCAACAGCCACTCCATCAGAATCAATGGGAGCTTGTTAAAAATGCACATTGCCAGGCCCCCCAGACCTACCAAGTCAGGCACTCCAGGGGTGAAATCCAGGCACTGGCAATTTTAACAAGCATCCTGACAATCCCTGTACCCACAAAAGCTTGAGAACTACTATTCTTTTTTTTTTTAATTTTCACCCTTGTTTTTCAGAGATGTTTTCTAGCAGATCTTTGCTGTTCTTTAAAAAAAAATTTTTTTTGAGTCAGAGTCTCACCCAGGCTGGAGTGCAGTGGCACAATCACCGCAGCCTCGACCTCTTGGGCTCAGGCGATCTTTCCACCTCAGTCTCCTGAGTAGCTGAGACCAAAGGCCTGCACCACCACACCTGACTAATTTTTTAATTTTTTGTAGTGATGAGATCTCACTATGTTGCTCAGGCTGGTCTTGAACTCCTGCCAGGGATGTCTTCAAGCTCTCCTCCCCACTCCATGTCAGGGCCTCTGTCTCCAGCATTTAGTGTACCCTGACGGGAAATGGGAAGTATGTCCGTCCATGGTCATCCCTTGATCAATTTCACTGGGATGTTACCTCTACATGCCACCTAAGGTTGTGAAAACAGTCTAAACCCCAACAGATAACCACACGTGTGCAGAGTGGAAAGTCGGTGCTGAAGGATTGTTAGGAACTATATCAGAGTCACCCCTCAAAACAAAGCACATTCAAGTTTGATATCAATGTCCAGAAGTCAGTAACATCTGATATATCAAAGTCAGCTTGTAGAAACAGTATGACATATGAATTTCAAGTCATACTGAATTGGGCTCACATCTGTCATCCCAGCACTTTGGGAGGCCGAGGTTCAAAACCAGCCTGCTGAATTTGGCGAGACCTTGTCTCTAAATAAAAAACAAAAAATTAGCCTGGCACGGTGGTGTGTGCCTGTGGTTCCAGTTACTCGGAAGGCTGAGGTGGAAGGACTGCCTGAGCCCAGCAGATCGAGGCTGCAGTGGCCATGAGAGTACCCCTGCACTCCAGCCTGGGAAACAAAGGGAGACCCCGACTCAAAAAAAAAAAAAAGAGACATATGAATTCACTTCTATATCCTCTCCAAGATTTAAAAAGTTTTATCCTAAGGATGAGGAGCGCATAGTGTACTTGTGAATACTCTTAAAAAATATAATCAAACCATGTGAAATTTTTTTCAAAAACAAAAGGTCACATAAGCACCACATCTCAAAGGCGGAAAAAAACCTGGAGTTATTTAAGAACTGCAAAGCCCATTGTGTCGGTCCCTTATCAGAGGGGGGCTACAGTAGCCAGCGTGAGTCACCGGGATCAGTTAAGTGTGCGCCTCAGCCGAGTTTAAATGGAGCCTTGTAGCACGGTCAGGCTCCCAGGACGGCCAGCTCCTGTGGGCGAATGAAAGGGCCCGGTGAATGGCCCCTTTGTCCCCATCCCGCACAGCCTCCTGTGAAATTCTAGCCTCTCTTCAGATCGCCTGATTATCAAACAAGCAAGAAAACTTGAACCAGCGGAAACCCAAGCCTGTGACAATTATGTAAGAGTTTTTCTGGGCGCATTCGCTTGAAGTCGTGTCGCGGTTCCTAAGAGTGACCCAGTTGTGCCAGGCGCCCTGGGCCAGGTGACCGGCTTTGGCCGGTGTCACGCCCGAGTTCTCCTCCTTGCTATTCACACGGTGCCCCTGGCCTGGGAAGCCGGTCAGGACCGTCCCCACCTGTGGCTGGGAGGAAGGCCGGGAAGAACATCCGTCCCCGAGACTCAGAGGCACCGGGGCCCCGGCTCCACTCCGCCTCCACACGCTTTTCACTCTGCACCATCTCTCAGGGTCTGTCTAGACAGAGGCAGGCACCGGCAACATGACTGTAGGTCATCAGCCTGGCTTGGCTTACTTAAGCTCAGCAGCATCTGTCAAAGCCCTGGCTTTTGTTTGTTTGGGTGTTTTGTGTTTTGTGTTTTGAGGCGGGTAGAGGATGTGGGAGGCAACAGGTACCATCCCCACGCATCCAGACAAAGCCAGAGTCTGGGGAGAAGGCCTGCCACACCGCCCACCATCACAGCGACTCGGTCCAGGGGCTGTCCTCCTACCCGCCCTTGCAGGACGGGCTGGCTGAGTGCAAGCACTGCCCCTTCCTGCCCTTCGTGAAGGGAAGAGTCTGAAAAATGGTATCACGGGCAGAACTTTTAATTCGCTCTTCCTTGTATATATATTTTTTTTTCTGTTGCCCAGGCTGGAGTGCAGTGGCACAATCACAGCTCACTGCAGCCTCCAACTCCTGAGCTCAAGCGATCCTCCCACCTCAGCCTCCCTAGTAGCTGAGACTACAGGTGCTCTACCACATCTGGTTAATTTTTAAATTTTTTTGTAGGGGTGAAGTCTCACCATGTTGCCTAGGCTAGTCTCAAACTCCCAGGCTCAAATGATCCTCCTGCCTTGGCCTCCTAAAGTGCTGGGATGACAGACATGAGGCATGATGCCTGGCCATCAGTTTTCAACACTACAGGTCATAAGCTGCACTATGCCCTAACTAGGGGCTCACTTATTCCCTTAAACATCCAAAAAAGGTTTGTTTGGTTTTTAAAGACTATTACAAATTTTAAGCAAAGTTCTACCACAACCAACACCCAACCAAGAGAGACCTTTCCAAGGTAAACCTCAGTTGTAGACTGTACTTAGGAATGTGACTTCCCGGAGCTTAGGCGTTCCGGTTACAAGGATTACTGTTGTTTGCCTTGCGAGGCAGTGAGCAGTCCTTCCTCCACGGCCACAGAGCACTCAGGGTCCACACAGCACAGGCAGCGGCTGCCCGCCCACCTCATTCCAGGGCTTTCTTCGTTAACTCTTATGAAATCATTTACTTAGGACTGGGTTAAGATGCTTGACATGAGAAAAATAAAACGACTAAAAATATTTCATTGAAGCCTCCAATTATCATAGGGTTTGACTGCACGGCTCATATTTCTCATGAGGAAGAAGTGAGGTTTTTAAATACAAAAAATTATTTCTAAACAAAGTGCTGGGAAAAGAAAGAATGTTAAGTAGGGAGATGTGATGAGTGGGTTTTTAAGAAGAAAATTAAGAAATAATTGAATGATAGACTTTTACGATCAGTGACAAATGCCTTGAAATTCCAGCTTCAGGGAAGACCTGCAGAGGACTACACAGCTTCTTACGTGACTTCTAGGTTGGACACCATCAGGCATTTCCATCAGTGATCTCTCTGATTAATGCAGTCGAGAGCATAGAGAGGGTCGGCTTGTGAGGTTTGGGAGGGAAAACACGGAAATTAAAATACACGCCTCTTGTTGAGATTAACTTAACGGATGTTTTTAGCCATAACACCTTGTTACTGCTTTGAGTAAAGCAACAATTTGCATTTGGTATCTTTTGTTAGGATGACAACCACTGTTTTCTGAAAACGTTCTCATTTTTGAAAGCTCGGGTTTTATAGTACTATAAAACTAATTTCACTTGCAACCATAATATCTGACTATAAAACAATTGTATCATATTTTCAGCAGGAACACCATCTTCAATTCAATAGTCATCTGAATCTTGAATCCATCTGCCCACAGGAGAAGCCAAGGAGTGAAGTTACTTATGCCTACAGTTGCAAAAATGCAACACAGCTTTACAATTTGTGTCAGATATTTATTTATAGTGTACAAGTTGTTTCGATATATGTAGATACTGTGGAATAGC